ATATATATATAACAGATACATAGACAGATATGGCTTGAAGCATAGACACATATATACAGACAGACAGACATACATACATACATACATACATTCACACATACATACATACATACATACATACATACTTACATACATACACACATACATACATGTATACATACATACATATGAACACGTATGAACCGCCAACACGTCTACGCAGGATTACTGAGTTCCAGACATATTTTGAGTTCAAATACTGCAAGAACTAAACCATTGGACACAGCGCTTCAGGTAGCTACACAACTGATAAATTACCGGTGGAATGGCACTGGGCTGTATCCCTTTTCTTGACTGCAAAGAGCGTGCAATCGTTTGCAGCTCCGCTGTTCTGTCACGAGAAGACATCCTTGTGATTGACTGTTTTGGAGTTAGCGGCGTTCAGAATGTGACCTCTTCAGTATTTGGTAAATATCTGAAATTCATAACTTTATGTATATTTTAATTATTCTTAACAAAATCTATCATAGCCCCAGTACCAGAAAGCTAATGTATACATACAAAAAAAAATGAATCTATGTGAATACCTGCTGATAAACTAATTACTAATCAGTGACGCGTGACTGCACAAATTTTGGCGAAGTCAAGTTCCGAAAATCGCAATTACAGACTTATTTTAATGATGAACATGCTCACTCGCGAATATATATAGTAAGTGAATACGATACGATAGATACTATATCAGTTCAGCTTACCTCACTGTGTTATATCAGTTGACCTATCATTGTTGGTCCTTTTGTAAGCTTTCAGTGTTGATGCATTTTTGTGTCCTTGATTATAGTGCTAAGTGGTTTGTAGACCTTCAATGGTTCGTTTATCCTTTAATTTAAGGGTTCTCTACTGTGAAAATGTTCATGATTATGAAGAGATGCTAGTAGTGGCTGTATCATATGGAATCGCCCATGGGCCCGTTTACGTCTGGATGTATTGTTTTTTACTTTTCTGTATTGCTCAATTGTACATATATACGATAACACCGGTACATTGCCCATGAACAACTTCCAGTACGTTGTATATCGCAGTTCTTAGAGTATAAATTTAACACAACGAAGTTAACTTGTCTATTTATTTTAGCATATCAATTCACACACACACACACAGTCTCACACACGCATATA